AACGTCTGAACGGAAGTCTACTTCAAAGGAACACACTATTTGAAAGTGGCGGATTTCCTTTAAACGTTGGGTCCCGCCACTGTCAAAGTGTTGAGTCGCTGGTATATCGTACGATCCGTTGGTACACAGTACGATTCACTGGTGCAACCCTCGTATCCAGAATTTGCAACATCGGTCCATTCTGTAGAACAGCAAACGACACTCACCGGTAAACTGAAATTTTCTGCTGGCCCAAGAGCACCTGCGGTACCCAACTGGTACGCGTAGCTGCCATCGCGGAAATCGTTCTGTACATTCAAGAAATGATACTCGAGAGCTGAACGCTGGCCCTGACTCTCGTTTTTCTCCAATCGAGCTAGTAGAGACGACTTTCCAGATTGATTATCACCTGAAAAGATTGAGTTAGCGAATTAGTTACTGCTTAGGTTGTAAAACGATTGAATTACCAAGAATTATGAGGGTGCCGCCTTGTAAGGTCGATGACGACTTTGAGCTTACTTCGGACAAAATTCGAGTCCTAAACAGGAAAAAGGATAGAATACCTCAGTTTTCCACAAGCAAACTATTTACCTTTTACTGTGATAAGACTAACTGCGTTATTCTACCTGTCTTGAATATTGACTAAGCACATTTGTTTTCTAATCACACTGTTATGGAATAGTCAATAAAGCCAACTTCAACAATCTAGAATAGTCAGGTACCCGATACGCGAATTTCTTAACATCTGTAGTCAATTCCACAATGAGGTGAAAGCTATAGAATACAATCAGTCCAAGGGATGGCAAAGCACGCCGAGAACCTGCGAATGATTCTCGATCAACTTTGCCATCCTTTGAATGCTGCCACAAGAGGCGTAATAACGTTGAAATGGACTTATGAATAATTTTACGCGATTGCACTACAGTAACGTTCTTTTCTACAGTCCATATCTCGAAGTCTGATTGGGCGTGTCACCGGAAATGACGTGGCAGCCACCGCACTTGATAGATGTCGTGTGGATAAACACACCGCCAGATATCAGCAAAGCGTTGGAAGCAGCTTATCCGCGCAACTTCTATCAAGTGCGGTGGCTGCCACGTCATTTCCGGTGACACGCCCAATCAGACTTCGAGATTTGGACTGTATTTATATTCATGAAACGCCGAGCCTGATAAACATCTTACCGAATGAATCCCAAAACTATAATTTCGATATTTATCACGACAGCTGCCTAATATTTATGCTTAAGGTTACTGAACAACGGATTCCTCCAATGGTCAACTAAGTTAGGCCACAATTATAGTTTAGTCGGAACGATCGCACGATCGCGCGATCAGATGAGTTGGACGATCGTGCGATCGATGCGTATCCCCACACTCGGTTGTGCGATCGGACATCGACGGCTGTGGTTCTCTGGGACAGAAAGCGGATTTCTCGTGTTACGCATTCGAGACTTTTTTCTCTTCAGACCCCAGGTCCACTCGTGATCAGCGGTGGACCTGAGATTATCGAAGCGAAAAACGTTTCGCACTGCAAAACACGAAAAGGTTACTTCTGCACTACTGAACCACACCCCGGTCCGGATGAACAATAGCTGAGACGACCTAAACTCGCCCGTTTTAAGTATAACCACTGAGCTCTACGAGTGTGGTCCGCTGGAACAGAAGTCGACTTTGTCGTTTTTTGCAACGAGGAACTTTTTCGTTGTGAGAACCTCGGGTCTACCACTGCTCAAGACGCAGCGAATGAAGTTTCGCGCACGAGAAGCGTGAGAGACGCTGTCTGTCCTGGAGCTAACATACCACCCGAACTCTAGCTTAGAACTTCCTACTTTCACTATTAAACAAGCGCTTATGCAAAAACTTAATTCGAGGCAGAGTGTGCTTGAAACTCACCAAAGTTTTTCGTCTTCCTGATGTTGAGAGCTTGCCAGCGCAGCTGAACTTCCGGTACTGGGCAACGGAAATCCAGTGATGAGCTCTGACGCCACCATCTGTAAAAAAAAACGAAATTTCAGAACACTGGTGAATTGCTGCAGTAGATAAACGAGTCACAAAAGTTTGGCGCGACTTCTCAGCATTTAACATAGATCCACTCTTTCGGGCACCACTCTATTTTCTAGAACCCTCACTCGACACTTACCCCTCAAGGTCATAAAACTGTACAATCAACACTCAGATGTCGGTCAGACTCTGCGATTGCATCGCGATGGACCAGTGCCGGAGCGACGCGATCGTTCCATCGCTTGTCCATCGCGATGCAATCGCAGAGTCTGACCGACATCTCACACGCTAATACGGCGCGCGGAATGTCAGCGCCTTCCCAGCGAGGTAGTGTAAACTCGCACATACAGTTTTCCACGCATGCCAAGTGACTCGCATCATACTCCCCCGTCCACCTCTTACACTGAATACATTCCTGGCTCACGGTATCCTTGTTTTGCAGTGAAGCTCGTGAACATGACGCGTGCTGTGGCGGCGACTGGCTCCCCCTCCCAACTGCGTTGCACCAAAGTACTTCACCCATTTTACATAATCTCGCGAATCTTCGCTCCAAATTTTCCAAGAAGCATTCTGAAAAGTGGCGCAGCACGGCGAGAGGTGATCGCGATATTGTGTAGTGGAGCCTGTGCTGCGCGTGCCGCCGCGCTTTCGCTTGCAAAGACCGAAAGGACCCAAAATTAGCAGATTAGCCCGCGAGTCTTACTCTACCTTCTTCTTTGCTGAATCATGGTAGCATCTTCATTTCTGCTGCTTTCAGCCTTTCCTCTTCACTTTCCCTCCTCTTTGTCGGAACTTGCAATTCACATCTTTTGGCGCTCTGCCTCATAACGGCTGAAAGCGTTCTCGGATGCTTCTACTTATTTATCCCACAAACGCATAACGACGAGAGGAAAGCTTTGGCGCACCATCGACTTCGACTAGGAAAGCAAATATGGCGGATAAGTCCGAAACTAAGAGTGGTCACAAAGAAAATGATGCTCCAGGCCCGAGAACATATCTCACCCAGCTTTTCACGCATGTCAAGTGACTACCCTCACCCCACCCCTGGCTCACGAATTCCCCGATTCTCGTGACAGTATAGTAGCGGGCAGCAGTCCCACTTACATACATTTCTGTTCAAAAAATGCGGCGTGCCCACCCTACTTGTATAGCACCAAAATGAGTTCGCACATTTTCGAACGAATTGGTCACGATTGTTAACGTGTAAGAAAATGACGGCGTCCATGACCGACCAGCACCAAACTCCTTTATAAAGAGAATAAAGTTGATTATTAACAGAAATTCGCTAACTATGAGCACACGTCAACGGATAGTCAAGTAACTGGTGAAAGTAGTCATTCATGAAGGAAATTATGGCGCAGTGGTTATCATAGAAACCTCTCGTTCCAAAAATGATGCAAATCGACGGGAGGAAAGTTTTCAAAACAAAGAATACAACTCTGAAACGCGCCCGAAATGGATTGTGAAATCACGAATTGATGTGAAGATTCCGCGCTCCAATGTCATTTCGGTGACCCGTTCAATCGTGTCCTCATTCTTCATTCGTCCTCATTTGCGCTCGCCGCGAGGGCATTGTTCATCCAGGTGAACAAGAATGCCATGGGATTGGCCTCCATTTGTGTAGTTCTCGTTTGTCTGCTCCATTGTTTCCGTTGAAGCATCGTCTTTCCAGTCCTACAGTGGAGCCTACTGTTTGCCACTCAATCGTCCTTCTAAATGTGTGAAACATTCTTGTACAGCCAAAAAAGGAGGCGAGTCCAGCTATTGGCGAAGTTCGCACGGGTCTATTCCAGTTAGGGGAGGGGCATATGATGCAGTTTTTCCAGAAAGCTAGGGTAACTCCGAGCCAGGGGAGTGTAGCCAGTCTAGGGGGGGGGGGTGAGGGCAGTCACTTGACATGCGTGAAAAGCTGGAATGTTCGAGTTCACACTAGTTCGCCGAAGAAACTGCATCATGATGCCCCCCTAACTGGAATAGACCCTCCTTTGTTAACCTGCTGTTTAGCAGCTTGTGGTTACGTCTGTGAAGTAGGGTGCTATGCTCGTAGTTCTGATGTTCACACTGACTTATCTTGTTCGCGGCTCACTTCGCTTGTTCGCGACTGGGTAATTCCGCGACTCATTGGGGAAATACGTACCGATCTGAAAATTCGGTGGTTCCGCCAAACCTATTATGTACAGGCCGATTCATTCAATATCGCCTGTGAGCGATTCGGGGTTAGGCGAGTCGGCGATTCAACGATCCTTTCGATCGATACTTACACATTCCTTTCAGCAAAATCGCCGAGTAGCCGAATCGTTGGATCTTCCAATCGCGTGCAATGAATGCCTTCTGAGATAGTCGATAACAAAGCGGCGGGGTAGTGCAGCATGACATGTTAATTGCGGCGACGAAACTGCATAATTTGTGGCAATGGCTTTGATAGAATGAATTAGGACAATCAAGCTAAAGAAAAGCAGCTGACTACTCCGCTTCTGTCAATGAACCTGTAGTTCTGTGGTTGAACGTAGATAACTTATTGCATTTGATTCCGTTTTGGGAGATTAAGAGATGGGGAATTAGAGTTTCAGCTGAAAAGATCACATACTTATAGATTGGAAGGATTGGAGAACATGGCGAGTCTGCATTTATTTCAGTCCATGCATTGAATTTTCCCATCCAAATCAACTAGTCTCAAATCCTTATCTCATAGCTCCCTTACTCCTCGTTCAACGCATATCTTCGGTCTATCACAACAAGACAGGCATTTCGGAGAACTTGGGAGTTAGCTGCACAATTCGTATATGCAAAAGGGGAACTATGTAGATGAGTATATGCTTCTAAACCCCTATAATAAATGATATTTGTAGAGATTTCAAAATGCTTGGCCTCTACCAAAACGTTCTCATTCACACTAGTCGACCCCAAATTTTTTTATCTCCCACTCTCGAAGAATCGAGTGTAAACGCCGCTTAATAAAAACACCAGTTGGCGCCACACTTTGTTGCGCGCACAACACAGTTCTGTGGCGATATGGAACGGCGCAGCAGAATTCTTTTAACCCGACTTATTACGAATATTTGACTTGTTCTCTAAGGAAGAATCATCCACTTTCTTCTCGGTCTCTATGTTATCACTGAACCATTTGCGACTTCGGATTTTAGCTCCGCCTGCTTTGGTAATGCTCCGCCTGCTTTGTCTTCCTTCCTAAATCCACTTTTTTCCCGGTCCCTGTACTGCCTCCAAACCGCCTTATAAGTGGGGTGAAATACTCCGCCCACTTTGGTGCATGCCCCGCTCACCACTAACATTTGTCTCCTTTTTTCTCTGACCTCTATCCACCTTTTTCCCGGCTCTTTAGGCTTCTCCGAACCGAATTATGAGGACTTGTAGAAAATGCTGTACACTTCAGAGCGCGCTCCGCCCATTGTGGGCGGGCCTCCGCCACGTCATGTATGCTGGGAACACCTTAGACATTGCTCCTACACCAATCTTTTCTACTGTAGGCTTTCTCCTAACCGAGACATGAATTTTTTCACTAAGTCTCGCTTAAGCTCTCCTTAATTCGATCTGGCTTATCAAGGCACACCAAAACCTATTTTATCCCCCATAGCTGGGCTATTTTGGAATCAAATTTGGAATTCCCGTCATCATTAAAGCTCGGTTCGATGTGCGCCACGCCCAATCAGGGTCAACCCTGCGTTGCGCAAATTCCAAAATTTTTACGACCCCCTTTTCGGAGGGTATCGGTACGACCCCCCCGTATTAACTATTATGTCTTTCACATAATTTAATGCTCATCATTGATGTGTGGGCAGTCACCAACATGGAGAAGTGGTGGACCGTGGTCAATCCGCGCGCTCTGTCTCGCTCAGAGGAGGGAATCGAGGCAACATGAAGTTTTATTCATGGAACCGGACACCAAAATTCAAAATTCAAATAGTTCTCTTGTTGCGGATGTTCAATATTTCAAAAAATCGTCCCGTTGTTCCGTTTTTTGTGCACACGCGAGTTTTCGACATTCAAACATTCATAACTTTCTTCATACCAACTTTTTGCAGATGTCTAAGGCTAATTAGAAACTAGAAGATTAGAGCTTTCAAATAAGTGCTGAAATTTTTGAAAGAATCACTCGCTCAAAAAATAGTCCCGTTGTTCCGTTTTTCCACCTTGATTTTTTTCAAGCCATTTTCCTGGACCGCGACTATGCAGTCTTCAAAGGCCCATAACTTCCTTCAAAATTAATGTGATGAGAAGCGGTAAAGACTGTTAGAATCTACTCGAAGAGTACTTCATAACAAGTGTGAAATTTTCCTGAAATTCTTTCTTCTGCCTCAATTTTCCTAAGGGGTCTCTAGAATTCAATTCAGCAAATTCGCTACACTTTGTTCCGCTTAGATTTGATTTGAAAGCATCGAAATTCTCTTCAGAAAGTTTGTCTGCTTACGGCCGCTGACAGAGAAGGCGTTTTTATGGGAAAACGCCTGCTCGGGTATACGCCGTGCACCTGTCTGTGGGCAGAAGTCGCACTCGCATTTGAAAGTCCTCCATTTTCCTGAAGAAGGTGTTAGTATCGTGATTGAGTTGCATTGTACTGTTATATGGTACTCTTGTTTCACTTCCCCATGAACTGCTCTACACTTTGTTCTCCTTGGGATTTCAGGAATGTTCGATCATCGAAGACAGACCATGTTTTTGCACTACGCTGTAACAAAGTTTTTGGCTATTGTAATCTTGATCTATGCTGTCGAGCGAAAGCGCCGTCCGTGTATTAAGGATAATAATGGCTGATAGTGAGACTTATAATGCTCTGCATGCTCTAATGCTCCCATGGAGCTCTTGTCTGTGTGACTCTCCGACAGCGTGCAGAGCTCCTGGAGAACATTAGAGCTGAAAGTGCACTCCCGGACACTGCACTTTTCAAGCCGTCTTGCAGCCCGTCTCTCTGGATACGACCCCCTCCCTTTCGTTCGGCTGAATACGACCCCCTCGTTGTTCTTTGCGCAACGGG